TTAATTTCACTTAAAGTATCTTTTCAATTTTTTTAAATAATTTCAAATATCAGTATTCAACATTTCATGTTTTAAATATCAAAACATGACTTATGCATGTGTAACTGCAGGTTAAAGCATCCCATGTCCCTCTAAGCTGCATTAACATGTGTAAATACATCTAAATGCCACTTCATATGCAACTTCTGCAAAGATTAATTTTATTCATACTGATTTAATTTGTTTAGTAACAGCCTAAATGTATTATTATAATTGACTGATTAAATGTAAGAATTTGACTCAAAAGATGACTTTAAAAAAAAAGGCTTTATAAAAGGTAAGAATGCCCATATAAAAGTTAAAAATCAATTTAAACTTATTTGGAAAAGATTCATTAATGCCACTTCATATGCAACTTCTGCAAAGATTAATTTTATTCATACTGATTTAATTTGTTTAGTAACAGCCTAAATGTATTATTATTATAATTGACTGATTAAATATAAGAATTTGACTCAAAAGATGACTTTAAAAAAAAAAGGCTTTATAAAATTTTTTTTTTTTTTGGCTAGTAGACGTTATGAATGGCCGATAACTTAAAAATTTAGTAGCCAAATTGGCTGGTGAGTGAAAAAGTTAATTTCAATCCCTGGTTATTTTACATCATAATAATATTTCACAATTTTACATTTGTTCCTGTATTTTTTATCAAATAAATGCAGCCTTGATAAGCAGAAGAAACTCCTGTAAAAAACATAAAAAATTGTTCTGATCCCAAACTTTTGACCGGTAGTGTATGTCTAAGTACAGTGTGAAAACAATACTATAAGGAACAAACCCATGGCTGCACGTCTTTACGTCCATCAGGAACCACACAAAAACATTTTCTTCCATCAAAAGCATGTAAAAGCTGCGCTCAAGTAAACAGGATCTCGATTTGCACGTATAGTGTTTGTGGCGTCAATCGTCTCGTGCGCTCTGCACTATTGAGTAGCTCTTGCACGGGTTCTTGAAGCACACAGACGGAAGCGACAGCGGCCACGAGAACGTGCAGGGAACCGTCGTCTTAACGTTCTTCTCCAGGAAGTTAAACACGCGGTTCCACCACGTCTGGTTCAGGTAGTTGTGAGGAGATCCTCTCAAAGCCTACAAAATCAGGAGAGCCGCCATTTACAATTCGCGACACTTAAAGGGTTACTCCAACCCCAAAATGAAAATGTTGTCATTAATCACTTACCCCCATGTCGTTCCAAACCCGTAAAAGCTTCGTTCGTCTTCAGAACACAATTTAAGATATTTTGGATGAAACCCGGGAGGCTTGTGACTGTCCCATTGACTGCCAAGTAACTTACACTGTTAAGGTCCAGAAAAGTATGAAAGACATGCAGCACGGCTGACACAGAAGAGCGTACGCTGCTTGCGTTCAGCGGATATTCTCCAAAATGGCGCTACGGGGATGCGGAGAGACACAGAGGAGACGAATTGTTGTGTAAAGTCGTTATTATTGTTTTCTTCTCGTACAAAATGTATTCTCGTCGCTTCATAACGTTACGGTTGAACCACTGATGGCAGATGGACTATTCTGATGATGTCTTTCATCCTTTTCTGGACCTTGACAGTGTAAGTTACTTGGCAGTCAATGGGACAGTCACAAGCCTCCCGGGTTTCATCCAAAATATCTTAAATTGTGTTCCGAAGACGAACGAAGCTTTTACGGGTTTGGAACGACATGGGGGTAAGTGATTAATGACAACATTTTCATTTTGGGGTGGAGTAACCCTTTAAAGCAGAATTCATAATGTTTAGCTTTTGGTCCAACTTAGTAAGAAAAACTACTAGTTAGCTTTTATTTCAGCTGCTTCAAAGATGACGTATAAAGAAACAAAATGCCAAAGCTACTTGAAGTCAAAAGTTGCGAAAAAGCCATGCTTAGGGAAAGCACACAGAATAAATGCTTCTTCTGTTTAAAATGCTAAAATATTTTAATGTTTCGATCTCTAATTTCTTTTTTCTATTTTACTATGATTTGTTACTATTAATGTTAAAGGGTTAGTTCACCCAAAAATGAAACCTCTGTCATTAGTTACTCACCCTCATGTCGTTCCAAACCCGTAAGACCTCGGAACACAAATTAAGATATTTTTGATGAATTCTGAGCGCTCTCTGACCCTCCCATAGACAGCAAGGTAACTACCACAATCAACGTCCAGAAACGTAGCAAGGAGATCGTTAAAATAATCCATGTGACATCAGGGGTTCAACCGTAATTTTACAAAGCTACGAGAATACTTTTTGTACGCAAAGAAAACAAAAATAATGACTTTATTCAACAATTCGTCTCCTCCGCGTCACCCTATAGCGCCATTTTGGAGAATATCAGCTGAACGCAAACAACGTATGCTATTCTGTGTCAGCTGCGCCACGCGAATACGTTTTCTACGTTGTTTATGCTTTGATTTGAACGAAAACAACGTGACGCAGCTGACACAGAATAGCATATGCTGTTTATGTTCAGTGGTAGTTACCTTGCTGTCTATGGGAGGCTCAGAGAGCTCTTAGAATTCATCAGAAATATCGTAATTTGTGTTCCGAAGATGAACAGAGGTCTTGCGGGTTTGGAACGACATGAGGGTGAATAATTAATGACAGAATTTAAATTTTTGGGTTAATTATCCCTTTAAAAGTCTACTGTTTTTTATGGAAGCCCATTTCCGCCACAGAATAAAAGAATAAAAAATTCTCTCAAAATTCTGAAGAAAAAAGTCAAAATTATGAGGTATAAACTCACAATTCTAAAGGAAAAAAGTCTGAATTATGTGATATAAAGTCAGAATTCTAACATTTTTCCCTCACGGTTTCGAATTTACATCTCTCTGGGTTTTTTTTTTTCTGCCACGGAAAAAAAAAAGTTTGACTTATCTCACATTTCTAACTTTCCTTATCACAATTCTGAGTTAATATCCTGCAATTCTGACTTTTTTCAGATCTTGTCAGATTTGCGTGATTTAAAGTCGCAATTAACTTTATTTAATCATTTTTTTCCATGGTGGAAACAAGCTTCCATAGTTGTTTTTTTTACCTGATTTTGTTATTTGTTCATTTTTCATAGTGTGTTTTTACTCTACAGTAGTCAACATTTGAAGTGGATCAAAACCTTTCATCAAAATGCGTTCTTGTCTTAGGACAACTTTGATGCATTTTTTTGATCCACTTCAAATGTTGACCAAGTATTGAATCCAATTAGGGTGAGTTTGACCTGCACCATTAAGATAGTTCCCAGGTTTTTAACATAGGTGAATATGTATTATTAATTGTGTCATCACACAGCTGACTCTCAGCAAATTTGCAATCTTCCACATGAGTTTCCATGCAAGAATATGGAATGGAAGTTAAACAAAGCCGTTTTTAATAAGCTTTTACCTGGTTGTTGGCTATGGTGTGGTACCAGTAGAAGAGGCGTGAGGTGATGAAATACGCCACCACTACGTCCACGCTGTAATGCTCATGCGCCATCAGGATACAGACCACGCCCACCACGCTTAGCAACCAGCAGATCACATGATAGCAACGCCACACCAACGAGCGGGGCGAGTCTACCACACAAAACAACTCACTTCAAAACATAACCAATCCTTAACTGGGTTAAAAAGAACAACAGTGGGAATGCAAGTGGACTGAGAGCCGATGGAAATGATGATGATGATGATGGTTTCCTCATACTCACATTCCTGGATGAAGAGGAAGGTGAGGGTCAGCATGACCGTGTGGCCGCTGTATAGGAAGTCTCCACACATGAGATGAGAGGCAGTGATGGACAAACCTGCTCCAGACACCAGCTGCAAAACACGCTCGATCTTGCCGTGAGAATCACCGTAGAGCTACAGACAGAAGCCGACCAAACATAAAAGAGGCATGAGATAGAAACACCAAAGCTTCCCACGAATGCATGCTGCAATTCGGCATTGCACGCAGAAAACACAACACAAATACATCATAGCTAATTCATCTCACAAATTAAAATGACTTATTTCTCGCAATTGCAATTCAGACTTTTTCTTTTTTTTTTGAGAGCTGCGAGTTTACATCTTGCTGTTGCAAGTTACTATAGGATGCAATTGGGAGTTTATGACTTGGAATTGTGAGAGAAACTCGCAATTCAAACCTTTTTCTCACAATTCCAAGTCATAAACTATCTCATAAACTATATCTTTCAATTTTACGTTTTTAACTCAGTTCTGATAAAATTGCAAGTTATTAAATCCAAGATGTAAACCCAATTCTGATAAAAAAAATTTAAAAAAAAAGACAGAATTGCAAGATATTTTTTTATATCCCCATATTGTGAGATAAAAACGTACAATTAGCCTTTTTTATATGTTTATTCAGTGGCAGAAATAAGCTTTCATATGTGATCATAAACTATAATTTAATGCACAAATAAATGCTCTGCATCGAAAATATATATATAAACACACTAGGACTTTTTTTTGCAGCATTTACTTTACAGCCATTTTATTGGTTAATTCAAAGAGCACTAAAGACAGGTTACACTCACAGTATGGATGGATGAATAATTATGAGACGCTAGTGAGTCATCTATGCCATATAAATTGAGAAAGCGTCACATCCTGATGAAGATTTTAAACTCAGAAGATGAAAATAACTCTAAAAGCTCAAAATTAACCATTGCGTCCTATGCTGTGCAAAAAACACCCCGGTTAAAAGCTCAGAAAGTGTTTTATGTGTATGTTAAGCCCTTATATCTTGATTGCTGCAAAACACGCTCGATCTTGCCGTGAGAATCACCGTAGAGCTACAGACAGAAGCCGACCAAACATAAAAGAGGCATGAGATAGAAACACCAAAGCTTCCCACGAATGCATGCTGCAATTCGGCATTGCACGCAGAAAACACAACACAAATACATCATAGCTAATTCATCTCACAAATTAAAATGACTTATTTCTCGCAATTGCAATTCAGACTTTTTCTTTTTTTTTTGAGAGCTGCGAGTTTACATCTTGCAGTTGCAAGTTACTATAGGATGCAATTGGGAATTTATGACTTGGAATTGTGAGAGAAACTCGCAATTCAAACCTTTTTCTCAGAATTGCGAGTTTATCTCACAATTCCAAGTCATAAACTATCTCATAAACTATATCTTTCAATTTTACGTTTTTAACTCAGTTCTGATAAAATTGCAAGTTATTAAATCCAAGATGTAAACCCAATTCTGATAAAAAAAAATTAAAAAAAAAAGACAGAATTGCAAGATATTTTTTTATATCCCCATATTGTGAGATAAAAACGTACAATTAGCCTTTTTTATATGTTTATTCAGTGGCAGAAATAAGCTTTCATATGTGATCATAAACTATAATTTAATGCAGAAATAAATGCTCTGCATCGAAAATATATATATAAACACACTAGGACTTTTTTTTGCAGCATTTACTTTACAGCCATTTTATTGGTTAATTCAAAGAGCACTAAAGACAGGTTACACTCACAGTATGGATGGATGAATAATTATGAGACGCTAGTGAGTCATCTATGCCATATAAATTGAGAAAGCGTCACATCCTGATGAAGATTTTAAACTCAGAAGATGAAAATAACTCTAAAAGCTCAAAATTAAACATTGCGTCCTATGCTGTGCAAAAAACACCCCGGTTAAAAGCTCAGAAAGTGTTTTATGTGTATGTTAAGCCCTTATATCTTGATTTTCTGCTTGTTTTTCTCAACAGCTAATGCTGATACTAGAAAGAAGGTTGGCTGATTTACTGTACATGTTATGTAATATAAATTAACTGTATGAGTTACACGAGTTAATACGAGTTATTTTTAGTGCTGTCAAATGATTAATCGCATCCAAAATAAGTTTTTGTTTGCATAATATCTGTGTGTTCTGTGTATATTAATTATGTATATATAAATACACACACATACAGTATAGATTTTGAAAATATTGACATGTATTTACAATACTGATATATACAATACTTGAATATTTATATTCATATAATTTATATTATAAATAAATATATTTATTATATAAAAATAAAATTTTTCCGAAATATATACATGCATTTGTGTGTATTTATATATGCATAATAAATATACACGAAACACATATTATGCAAACAAAAACTTTTATTTTGGATGCGATTAATCGTTTGACAGCACTAGTTATTTTACGTAAAATGTTAGTTAAAATTTATTTGAAAATTTTGGGAAATTGTGTGCATTAACCATGCAGTAGCAATCATCTCAAAATGTCAAAATATCAGCCAATATTGGTGAAATTACCATAATTTTGCACAAGTGCAAAGGGCATCTTTTCAGTTTACGTACAATATAGTGAAATAATAAAATTTGACACTGATATGCGTTTGATTGCATTTATTTTGAATGTACTAAACTTGTATAAAGATGCATTACATCAGTATTGCATGACTTTTATTTGCACACTGCATGATAGTTCACTCATTCATATGTGTTTGTGTTCACTGAGCGGCACTCACCTTCGGGGCGCAGTGCATGTGCATGCTGGGAACAGGAAGAGTTGTGATGTACATGGTCACCATACGGTACAAATACAACATTCCCTGCAGGAAGAAAAACCTTCGGCCCACGATGGCTCTGTCAAAACAACGGGAGGAGGAGGAATCATGGGATTGAGTGAGTATAATGAGCTTATATTTGCAACTGAAAAGCTTTTTTATTTAACTTGCACCAAGACATAGGGCTGCACGACTGGGGGAAACAATCTAATTGTGATCGGCTGACACAGAAGAGCGTACGCTGCTTGCGTTCAGCGGATATTCTCCAAAATGGCGCTACGGGGATGCGGAGAGACACAGAGGAGACGAATTGTTGTGTAAAGTCGTTATTTTTGTTTTCTTCGCGTACAAAATGTATTCTCGTCGCTTCATAGCGTTACGGTTGAACCACTGATGGCAGATGGACTATTCTGATGATGTCTTTCATCCTTTTCTGGACCTTGACAGTGTAAGTTACTTGATAGTCTATGGGACAGTCACAAGCCTCCCGGGTTTCATCCAAAATATCTTAAATTGTGTTCCGAAGACGAACGAAGCTTTTACGGGTTTGGAACGACATGGGGGTAAGTGATTAATGACAACATTTTCATTTTGGGGTGGAGTAACCCTTTAAAGCAGAATTCATAATGTTTAGCTTTTGGTCCAACTTAGTAAGAAAAACTACTAGTTAGCTTTTATTTCAGCTGCTTCAAAGATGACGTATAAAGAAACAAAATGCCAAAGCTACTTGAAGTCAAAAGTTGCGAAAAAGCCATGCTTAGGGAAAGCACACAGAATAAATGCTTCTTCTGTTTAAAATGCTAAAATATTTTAATGTTTCGATCTCTAATTTCTTTTTTCTATTTTACTATGATTTGTTACTATTAATGTTAAAGGGTTAGTTCACCCAAAAATGAAACCTCTGTCATTAGTTACTCACCCTCATGTCGTTCCAAACCCGTAAGACCTCGGAACACAAATTAAGATATTTTTGATGAATTCTGAGCGCTCTCTGACCCTCCCATAGACAGCAAGGTAACTACCACAATCAACGTCCAGAAACGTAGCAAGGAGATCGTTAAAATAATCCATGTGACATCAGGGGTTCAACCGTAATTTTACAAAGCTACGAGAATACTTTTTGTACGCAAAGAAAACAAAAATAATGACTTTATTCAACAATTCGTCTCCTCCGCGTCACCCTATAGCGCCATTTTGGAGAATATCAGCTGAACGCAAACAACGTATGCTATTCTGTGTCAGCTGCGTCACGCGAATACGTTTTCTACGTTGTTTATGCTTTGATTTGAATGAAAACAACGTGACGCAGCTGACACAGAATAGCATATGCTGTTTATGTTCAGTGGTAGTTACCTTGCTGTCTATGGGAGGCTCAGAGAGCTCTTAGAATTCATCAGAAATATCTTAATTTGTGTTCCGAAGATGAACAGAGGTCTTGCGGGTTTGGAACGACATGAGGGTGAATAATTAATGACAGAATTTAAATTTTTGGGTTAATTATCCCTTTAAAAGTCTACTGTTTTTTATGGAAGCCCATTTCCGCCACAGAATAAAAGAATAAAAAATTATCTCAAAATTCTGAAGAAAAAAGTCAAAATTATGAGGTATAAACTCACAATTCTAAAGGAAAAAAGTCTGAATTATGTGATATAAAGTCAGAATTCTAACATTTTTCCCTCACGGTTTCGAATTTACATCTCTCTGGGTTTTTTTTTTTCTGCCACGGAAAAAAAAAAGTTTGACTTATCTCACATTTCTAACTTTCCTTATCACAATTCTGAGTTAATATCCTGCAATTCTGACTTTTTTCAGATCTTGTCAGATTTGCGTGATTTAAAGTCGCAATTAACTTTATTTAATCATTTTTTTCCATGGTGGAAACAAGCTTCCATAGTTGTTTTTTTTACCTGATTTTGTTATTTGTTCATTTTTCATAGTGTGTTTTTACTCTACAGTAGTCAACATTTGAAGTGGATCAAAACCTTTCATCAAAATGCGTTCTTGTCTTAGGACAACTTTGATGCATTTTTTTGATCCACTTCAAATGTTGACTAAGTATTGAATCCAATTAGGGTGAGTTTGACCTGCACCATTAAGATAGTTCCCAGGTTTTTAACATAGGTGAATATGTATTATTAATCGTGTCATCACACAGCTGACTCTCAGCAAATTTGCAAACTTCCACATGAGTTTCCATGCAAGAATATGGAATGGAAGTTAAACAAAGCCGTTTTTAATAAGCTTTTACCTGGTTGTTGGCTATGGTGTGGTACCAGTAGAAGAGGCGTGAGGTGATGAAATACGCCACCACTACGTCCACGCTGTAATGCTCATGCGCCATCAGGATACAGACCACGCCCACCACGCTTAGCAACCAGCAGATCACATGATAGCAACGCCACACCAACGAGCGGGGCGAGTCTACCACACAAAACAACTCACTTCAAAACATAACCAATCCTTAACTGGGTTAAAAAGAACAACAGTGGGAATGCAAGTGGACTGAGAGCCGATGGAAATGATGATGATGATGATGGTTTCCTCATACTCACATTCCTGGATGAAGAGGAAGGTGAGGGTCAGCATGACCGTGTGGCCGCTGTATAGGAAGTCTCCACACATGAGATGAGAGGCAGTGATGGACAAACCTGCTCCAGACACCAGCTGCAAAACACGCTCGATCTTGCCGTGAGAATCACCGTAGAGCTACAGACAGAAGCCGACCAAACATAAAAGAGGCATGAGATAGAAACACCAAAGCTTCCCACGAATGCATGCTGCAATTCGGCATTGCACGCAGAAAACACAACACAAATACATCATAGCTAATTCATCTCACAAATTAAAATGACTTATTTCTCGCAATTGCAATTCAGACTTTTTCTTTTTTTTTTGAGAGCTGCGAGTTTACATCTTGCTGTTGCAAGTTACTATAGGATGCAATTGGGAGTTTATGACTTGGAATTGTGAGAGAAACTCGCAATTCAAACCTTTTTCTCACAATTCCAAGTCATAAACTATCTCATAAACTATATCTTTCAATTTTACGTTTTTAACTCAGTTCTGATAAAATTGCAAGTTATTAAATCCAAGATGTAAACCCAATTCTGATAAAAAAAAATTAAAAAAAAAAGACAGAATTGCAAGATATTTTTTTATATCCCCATATTGTGAGATAAAAACGTACAATTAGCCTTTTTTATATGTTTATTCAGTGGCAGAAATAAGCTTTCATATGTGATCATAAACTATAATTTAATGCAGAAATAAATGCTCTGCATCGAAAATATATATATAAACACACTAGGACTTTTTTTTGCAGCATTTACTTTACAGCCATTTTATTGGTTAATTCAAAGAGCACTAAAGACAGGTTACACTCACAGTATGGATGGATGAATAATTATGAGACGCTAGTGAGTCATCTATGCCATATAAATTGAGAAAGCGTCACATCCTGATGAAGATTTTAAACTCAGAAGATGAAAATAACTCTAAAAGCTCAAAATTAAACATTGCGTCCTATGCTGTGCAAAAAACACCCCGGTTAAAAGCTCAGAAAGTGTTTTATGTGTATGTTAAGCCCTTATATCTTGATTTTCTGCTTGTTTTTCTCAACAGCTAATGCTGATACTAGAAAGAAGGTTGGCTGATTTACTGTACATGTTATGTAATATAAATTAACTGTATGAGTTACACGAGTTAATATGAGTTATTTTTAGTGCTGTCAAATGATTAATCGCATCCAAAATAAGTTTTTGTTTGCATAATATCTGTGTGTTCTGTGTATATTAATTATGTATATATAAATACACACACATACAGTATAGATTTTGAAAATATTGACATGTATTTACAATACTGATATATACAATACTTGAATATTTATATTCATATAATTTATATTATAAATAAATATATTTATTATATAAAAATAAAATTTTTCCGAAATATATACATGCATTTGTGTGTATTTATATATGCATAATAAATATACACGAAACACATATTATGCAAACAAAAACTTTTATTTTGGATGCGATTAATCGTTTGACAGCACTAGTTATTTTACGTAAAATGTTAGTTAAAATTTATTTGAAAATTTTGGGAAATTGTGTGCATTAACCATGCAGTAGCAATCATCTCAAAATGTCAAAATATCAGCCAATATTGGTGAAATTACCATAATTTTGCACAAGTGCAAAGGGCATCTTTTCAGTTTACGTACAATATAGTGAAATAATAAAATTTGACACTGATATGCGTTTGATTGCATTTATTTTGAATGTACTAAACTTGTATAAAGATGCATTACATCAGTATTGCATGACTTTTATTTGCACACTGCATGATAGTTCACTCATTCATATGTGTTTGTGTTCACTGAGCGGCACTCACCTTCGGGGCGCAGTGCATGTGCATGCTGGGAACAGGAAGAGTTGTGATGTACATGGTCACCATACGGTACAAATACAACATTCCCTGCAGGAAGAAAAACCTTCGGCCCACGATGGCTCTGTCAAAACAACGGGAGGAGGAGGAATCATGGGATTGAGTGAGTATAATGAGCTTATATTTGCAACTGAAAAGCTTTTTTATTTAACTTGCACCAAGACATAGGGCTGCACGACTGGGGGAAACAATCTAATTGTGATTGATCTGACTGACTGAAAAACTGCAACTGCGATTTAAAATGAAACTTTAAATTACAGCGTGTTTGTAGGGCTGTGTCGTGACTGATACACACACTACTGGTCAGAAGTTTATAATAATTAACATTGTATAAGTCTCTTCTGCTCACTAAGGCTGCATTTATTTATTTGTGTTTGCATACAAAAATACAGTAATATTTTGAAATATCATTACAGTTTAAAATACCTGTTTTCTGCTTTAATCTCTGTTAAACTGTAATGTATTTCTGTGATGCGCAGCTGTATTTTCAGCATCATTCCTCCAGTCTTCAGTGTCACATGATCTTCAGAAATCAGTATAATATGCTGATCGAGAAACATTTCTGATTATTATCAATGTTGAACACAGTTGTGCTGCACAATATTTTTGTGGTAATGATGCTGAAAATTCAGTTTTGCATCAAAGGAATAAATTACATATTCACACATTTTAAATTGCCATAATATTCCTATATAATATTAATAATAAAGCCTCTCTTTTGGTGACAACATCCGGTTTCTAAGTGCTTCTCATTACAAGTTTGTGAAGATGTTTGGCGCACGTTGCGTTTCTAAATGTACGTTCAGACTCAGATGCAGATTGAGTTTATGCAAAGCAGCATTTACTGTGAACCGAGATACTAAAAGCACTGGATCATGAGCTGCTCAAGTGTAAATGAACACAATGACGCACTGAAATGTTAGCATCTGAACAGCTGAGTACGGAAAAAAATCGTGGTGCTCATCAACTGTTCGGATACCAACATTTTTCAAAATATCTTCTTTTGTGCTCAACTGAAGACAGAACAAGTGGAGGGTGAGTAAATGATGACAGAATTTTCATTCTGGAAGTGAACTACTCCTTTAATTAAGTTGATAACTGCACCAAGCCATATTACGATTTAAGTTTTATTTCGATTAATCATGCAGCCCAAGTTCCCAGAGAGCACAGGTACGTCTGCAAGACGTCTGTTAAAGATCTCTTCATCTGGAAAGCATCAAACATCTTATAGACGTCTTTAAGATGTCAGTTTTACATTCATTCTAAAACATAAACATCTTAAAGACATCTTCTAAACGTCTATTTGACATCTGATAGGAAACGTCCTATAGGCGTATAGCAGATGAGCACACACTCTAAAAAATACGTCTCGCAGATGTAATGCAGACGTCTAATAGACGTCTCCGTGATGGATGTGTGCTATCAGGGTTGGACTCTCACTAAATGCTCACCTGTGCTTGAGGAAGAGCCACTGGATGAACCACAGAGCCACCAGGATCATCCCGTTCACCTCGGTGACGGAAAACGCCCACTCCACACGCGGCACATAATCGAAGAACTTGTCCGGTAACGGCGGGCTGACGGACTTATCCGGGACTCTCTCGTGGACGACGGTGATCATGACGGTAGTAAGGACGAGGTTAAATCCGGCCCAGATGAAGGCAATTCCCGTCTTCCACCATTCCGAAGGCAGCCGGGAGCCGCTGGACCTCGGGACGGGGATGCGGATGTAGTCCTGGTTTTTCCGCAAGACTTTACGGAAACCCCTCGCCAAATGTGTCGGCTGGCTGTCGTCTGGCTTGTCGTCAACCTGACCGCCACTGGGCGTGACCGGAGAGGGGTGTGGCCGCCCGGTGGGCGTGGTCTGGGGGCGTGGTCTGTCATCTATCGTCACCATCACATGGTAGCCACCGTTGGGTCTGTCATCTTCTCGTTCGTCCAGAAGATGAGATGCTTCCATCGCTCATACACTACAACTAACACAAAATTTAATATTAAATATACAATATATAAACATTTAAAACTATTGTCACATGATCTCAATTTATGTCGCATGTTTAACTCAGTGAATGATTCGAGTATTGTCTCAAATAAACACTGTTATTTGGAATTCTCAATCAAATTTTGAGCAAAAATGTCAGTAGAAAAACATGAGTGTTGGTAAATATTTTTTTAATTGAATGCATAAAAAAAATTACAAACAAGGCATATAGTTAAAGCACTGAAGATGATAAATCCTTTGCCTCTCAACAAATAATTATACAGAACAACAAAACTTACTAAAATAATAACACAATATATAAATAAACCACTGGTTAATTAATTTTCTTACTGCTATAAATGAACCTTCTGGAGGTTTGTTTATCAAATGCAACAGTGAATACAACATCAAAAGCAAGATTATCAATGCATAAATCAAACACTTGCTGACTCCCTGTATCATACTGAACAGCCAAGTTTGATAATTTTGAAACTGCAGATTGTTGCATGTGTGAACAAACGCATAAACACATGCATGTACATGCATCTATAGGTGGGTGTGTTTATTCATTTCAGGCCACAAACGTTTAAGCAGTTTAGCGTGAATGTGTGTGTGTGTGTTTGTTTAGTTCACGGCACACCAGAACGGGCGTTTCAGTGTGAATGTGTGTGTTTGACACACCCTGAAACCTGTGACACACAGACATGTTCACCTCGCTCTTTCACATCTCTGCTGACCCTACAGCCGTCAGACCGGTTTGTGCCGTTCTCATGTGAAATGCTGATTCTCCCCCGACTGAACTGGCAAAATGATTTCCTATATATTTATTTATTTGTATGTATATATCCCTGATAGCACTCGTACATCACGGAGACGTCTGCATTACATCTGACGTATTTTTTAGAGTGTTTGCTCATCTGCGATACTACGTCTATTGGACGTTTCCTATCAGATGTCTATCAGATGTTTGCACACAGCAGATGCTTTCCAGATCTTTAACAGACGTACCTGTGCTCTCTGGGAAGGCACATCCAGTATTTGTCTACTGAATGGTGGCATTAGATGGTAAAACCACAGTATGTTACCACAGTACTGAATGATTACCATATGCATATACCGTGGTATTTCAATGAATACCACAGTTTTGCCACGGTGCATGTACAAAAACCATCATATTACAGGGAACGTTCTCAAAATGGTCTGGCAAGGTTCTTTCAAAGTTAC